GGGTAATGAAGAAAAACTTTGATATAAGTTTAACATAACAGCAAATGTACAACGTTTTGACAAGGTTTTGTCATCATCAGGTACCTTGTTGAAACGTTGTATATTTGCTGTTATGTTAAACTTATATTAAAGTTTTTCTTCATTACCCATTCAAGCCGTCTCCAGCCATTATTAGAGTAGTACATCTTTTTAAAAGCAAAATTAGGTTATCACATTTATTTTTACCATAGTGAAGCAGCTCTTTTAAAACCAGATTTAAGGTTTGTAATTCTTCCAGAAAAACTGTTTTCTTCAAAAGATTTCTTAGAACCAGCAAATAGTGTGAGATTTGAACAGAAATTGTATTTACAGAATTGAACTGAGTTTTCTTGATTTTGAATGAGTTGTGAGAAAGAGACTTTTTTGATATATCCTTTTTGATTTTCTAATTTCCTGTTCCAATTTTGATATTTTATAATCCCCCAAGTCTACTGTCATAGCACTAAATTTGAACTTTGTTAAATTTATAATGCCTTTTTTATTTTATCCCTTATACTCCTTTGTGAGTCAACCTGTTTTTTTTTCACTTGCAATCATTTTTTTTCTATAAGGAAGATATCTATCTTGAATACTTAAAATTCTTCCACATTTGATTAGTATGTACATCCAATTCAGTTTCCCAATTCACAACAAATAATCTTTGTCACATCCCTTCAATTGTTTTTTTTAACACCCACCTGAGAGGGAAATGGGCAATTATAAACTAAACCCATTGCTCCTACAACTCAAGAACAAAGCATTTAAGCCAGAAGACATAGATGCTTGCTTTTCAAGTGCATCTATCTTAAAATCATTTACATTTGATAATTTTTCATGTAATGTTTCTAAGCCTTTTTGACCATATGTGTGTTCTTTAAGTGAAGATATGCCAAGATATATATATTTTTTAAACTAACTTTATTATGTCTCCACCAACAAGTATTTGTATTAAAAATCAAGAGTTATTCTCATAATAGTTGAAGCTTCCCATGATGGCATCTGAAGAACCAGGTCTGGAGCAATATAACCCTGACCAAAACTGGTTACTGGCAACACTGCAGCCTGGTAGCACCTGAGAAGACACCTCATCTGGTCACGAAGAGGATCAACCATCCATTGAGGAATGATCCAAACCACCACAAATTATTCCTTCCTTCCAACAAAGAGAATCTATAGTGAACTCAAGACTGTTGACAACACACATGTCAGTGGTGATCCAGATGTCTACATTGCCTCGAGCTGTTTGGCATCAGATATCTCAATACTTGGACTGTTAATCCAGAAACAATAAATGTGCTTATCTCCTGCTTCTGATTCCAAGGATCATGCAGCTGCCACTTTCACCTCTTTATATTCAGTTTAAACAGAATGAGTCATTGCCCAAATATACATTTTGTGCAGAAACAACCTGGCTGTCTTCACCGAGTATGTGTTAATCCAGTTCAATGTCATTATCAGTATTTGTTGTCAATGTGTGTCGAGTGACAGCAGAAGAAATAGGAACATCAATCAGAATTACCACAAGCTTGATAAGCTCATTATCTCCATGTATTGGTCTTACCTCAAAAGTACACTCTGGTGTACATGAAGAGATTGTTTCATGTACTAACGACTGAGTACTCTGGTAAATCCATCCATATGACAAACATAGTCAATTATACAAAGGACATGAGTTGACATTATCTTATGAAGGACATACTTGAAACATCTTGTTTTTCCGTGGATGTATGTTCACCATTCCTTATAGAGCAAATTTCAAGTATTATGTCAAAGTAGCAAGAACCATCAAGGACAACAAGTTCTAGGGTTTCAATCTCAATCCAGGCAATGCTGTTGCCATGAGCTACAGAACCGTGGATTACATTGGAACACAGCTAAACATAAAAATATTGAAAAATAACAGTATGTCCTTGTATCAAGGAATAAGCTTCTTAATGTTTGATACAACTTTGTGGGTTAATATGGTCTCCAACTATGTGACTGCTGCATGTAAGAACAGGTTTCAACCTCTACAAGCATGAACATAAGGTGGCATGTTGCAAGTGGGGGCCACTCATATCATATGGAGCAGGCTGTTAAACAGATTTGCTACTATGATGATGATATGGACTCTGACAAATCCAATGGAGAAGACTCAAGTGATAGATTCCAGTTTGGGAGATCCAAGCCCTGAGTGTCACCCATCTATTGTCTGACATCATTGAGCATTGACGGCCAAGATAATCTGATTAGCTAAGATGGTTTTTGCATGAATGCATGGCTATTCAGACTTCAGACCAGGAAATGTATGTGAAACTTAATAAAGAACTAAACATAGTCATGCTTCTGCATGGCTAACTTGAACTATATTCTTAAACACATTGTTACTCTGGTTGAAAATCTCAAGCAAGTGATTGTTATCCCAGTGGTCCAATCTGTCAGTTGAGAATTTGGAATCATAAATCTGGATACATCCCTTTCAAACTTCTTATCACAGTGAAATAAGAAAGATTACCAGCCATCTGTTTGTAGACATGGAGGCTGGTGCCTACAAGATTTACACAAAAATGCAGGAAAGCTTCCCAGTCAAGAGTGAGGTTATACAACATTGTGAAAAGCACAAAAGAAAGTTATGTAAGTAATTTCATTATTAGAAACATACTGTTACTTTAAATCCAAGTTGCATAAAGACTTTCATATGACAAAATCTTCAAATGGATCGAAAAAACAATATCGTAGTCCAACAGTATGGAGTCATTAACTTATGTGGTTTATGACTTGTATGTGACTCTTGAAAAAGTATTGGATTTTAGATATTGGGAAAATATCTTGAGTACAATTTCATATAAAGCTATAGGTGTAACCTGATCAGAGATAGTCAACTCCTATCTAAATCACCTTCATCTGGCTCCTACTTTTCTACCTGTTCTGTCCTCCACAGAAGACTGACCATATAGAATAAGTCAAAAAGTATATTACATCTGATGTGAGATGGATCTTATAGTAGACCACATGGTTATTAGGCTACTACCCAAAGTAAAATATATCAATAGAGAGTTCTGAGAGTTCAGATGCAAAATGTTAATAGAAATATTATGCAGGAGCAAAAT